CGGCCAATCGTATTCCTAAGGTAATCAATTAATCCAGACATGAACTCTCTTGTGTTTTGATTATGTATCTGATCCATATGTCTGTTCCAAATTTTGCAGAAACCAGTTGCACTACGTGGCCCTATGGCACCTTGCCTAGCACTGTTTTTTTGGATTTACTCGCTACATTATCTGGTGTAATGTGTATTTCAAAAATTGATCTAACTTTTATTGTTTGTTTTGTTTCCTTATCTGATTAGGGGTCAAAATCATTATTTTTACCTTTCAGAAATGGTTGAGCTTAGACGAATCTATCGAATATCACAGAGAAGCCCATCTGAGGAACACCCGTATTTGTGAAGGACAGATAGAGGTATTCTTCAGATTCTTTTATTTTGGTCACTTAAACATGCGTTTGTGCCCAACATACATTTGGAGATTATTTTTATGCATCCCTTGATTCCTCATTTTTCAGATATCCAGGCCCATCGCTGAAAACAAAGCTGAAGCTATAGCTAAAACTGAAGCTGAAGTTATAAATGAATTTAAAACTGAAGCTGAGATTAAAATGAAGTTAAAATTGAAGCTGAAGCTAAACTCTCGGGGAAGAAGGTAGAAGAAGATATGGAAATGCCATGGTGGTGTGGTTCGGCTTGAGAAGAAATTAGAGATAGAGATTGAGCTCTGGTTTTTTCATTGTTGCTCTGTTTTATATTATAAACTATGAAACCACAGAACACTCTAAACAAAGAGGCAGTCACTGTACAAACGTTTTCTTGGTAATAAATTTGTACATTAAAAAAAAAAAGTTGTCTTAAGCTAAGAATTAAGGATGATTGGAACTTCAGTTTCCTGCAAGTTATTATAGGTTAAAAACAGAACTACTACAACTTCGTGCACATGTGTTCAGGATCCAAGGTACATAACTACTACTTTGTGTACACGTTATATTTCAGTGTTCTGGAAGGTTTCTAAGTTCTCTCTGTTGTCATTAGCTTTAAATTGAAAAAAAAATCCTATGGATTTGCCTTTCGAAATAGTGTTTTAGGGATACAAATGAGACACTTCAACTGATGGCTTACATTAATGAAAATTTTTGATAGGTAAGGATTATGCCATTGGGAGATCAAGCTATCGTGCGGCCTCTAGAGCGTGGCTTTCATGGATGCACCATTGCGAGAGCTGGAGATAATGTAGCAATAGTGTTGCAAGGGACTCATGCAAATCAAGTAATGACAGGTGTGTTGTGCCATCCTGATTACCCAGTTTCAATAACTAATTTGGACTAAAAAATCAGGTTAGTGTTATTTATTTAATGTATATATGTAAGTGTTTTGTGGAAAACCTAAATATATGGATCAAACGATTCAAAAATAAAAGGCATTAGTTGGTAATCACGCCTATAAAAGGCTGTCAACTTTTGCAGAAGCAAAAAGCAACGCGGAGAATCTAAAGAATCACAAAACCATTGTGAGGGATCCAATAAGTACAGAGTTTCAAGAAAGGAGTAATAACGAACATTAAGGTGGAAGAAGACATTATTATACGGAGTTGTTTTCTATGTGCTTGCAGGAAAAGTTGAGATTGCTGAACAAGCAGTAAAATGTTAGATGGAGCTGGATCTAGATGACACTTGTGGTTGTGCTCATGTCTAATGCTTATTCTTCTTTTGGGTTTTGAGATGAGGAAATTCGATGGAAACTTACGAGTTTGTTTCTTGCGGATGTGTTAAACGGGAAAAGCCTCTGCTCTAAAATCAGAAGGTACTGCTCAGTTTAGTGACCATCTTGGTCATTTAAAAGACACCATATGATCTGATGCCATCTCTTAAGAACATAAACAACAAATTCAGTATCAAAAGTATAATCTTGATTTTGTGCTGGTGGACGAAGAGGATTGTTGTTACTTCCAAGCAACAAAAAATCACGTTGTACAAGCTCAAGGTGGAGACCTCTTGGTGTTTTCAGAAAGAAAAGAGACCAATGCGAAACTTTTGGAACTTTGTAAAGCGTTCTTTCCTAGAACTTTTTTTCTGGATACAATAAGTTTGGAACGTTGTTGGAGACTTAGAGTCTAGAAGTTTAATAATATACGCCTGTTTACGACAAGTACTATTGTTTGGTTTGTCTGGATTTATCATTCACGTAATTATTATTATCTTCTTTTGTGTTTCCTCTCATAAATGTAATTGAATTTCTTTTATGCTAGAAATCTGCAACTAGAATGGGTTTTAGCTAACAAATTAATTATCATCAGTCTTATAACTTTGGGGGTGTATTCAAAGGTTGTCATTTAGTAATGCTAATTCAGTTATAGTAATTACAAAAACGATTTCCTCTTCTAAACATAGCTAATAAACATATTCTGCATAATTATGTACGACCTTCTTTTAATTGTTTGTGGTTTGTTTACCAAAGTTTCACATGTTTTTTTCCTTCATAAGTTGGCATAAGTATATGGTACATAAGCTTCAGCTTATTCAGCCCACATAAGTATTGTTTCAATTCTAGGTAGTTAGATAACGAAATTAGGAAATGTGCTATGACGTTAGGTATTGACGTATTTTACCATTTGCTCATGAAGTATCCAGTAAAAAAATATAAAAAATTACCAGTGTGTATGATTCTTCACATGTTTAAGTTCTCAACAACAACTTCAGTTTTTGTAAGTTTCTTCTTTCTACTATTGCAGGTACAAAACTACATATATATTTTTGGGTAAAATGTATAAACTATATTTGAAGATTATCTTTCGTTATTTTACCAAGCTAATGATCTACTCTACTCAAACTCCAAAGTGTAATATTTGACATTAAACTCATGAACTTGAAAAACTCATAATTTATTATAAATTTCTATTTTATTAATGTAGACATTAGATAAATTCATTATTTGGAAAAACATTCATACATATGTCAAAACCATTTTGGCTGTACTATATTAGAAAGAAGGTTTACCACTATGTATAAATCCCCGTGCTTGTGAACCATTCGGTATTCAACATCACATGGTGACAATCTTATGAACGCAAACGATCTGGTCCAATCTTATACGTTTTGTGATGATGACTCTCCTTCTTGATTTACAAATTTGTTACAAAATGGTAAAGACAACAAATCGAGTGCTATCATCAAACTTCTATCAAGTTTTATTTATACTCATTCCTAAACATTGTAGAAAAATGTTAACCACCTTTAAAAAGAAACTTTATTTGTTTCATGTCTATAAATTAACGAATTAAATAAATGATATAAAATTACAAAAAAACACAAAAGTTAATGCGTTGAATTATTTAAATTTTATTAAATGTAATATGCAAAATTACTTTTCCAATTATTTTAAATATATGTTCCCAAAATTAAATAATGCATGATTCATTTATATGTAACGAACACAGAATTATTTTTAAATTGCAAAAATTATTGAAAACTATTGATATATCATTTATTAACTATATTAGTAAACGATTAATAAATAATTAACCCGGGCGTAGCCCGGGAAAACACCTAGTTTCTTTATAAACAAGTGATCATGATCTTATTTTGAATATATTATGTGGAAAATATATAAACATGGTAGCCAAAATTTAATATAAATCTTAGTAAATTCTCTACAATCAAGACAACAAATATACGAATTCTATAAATATGAGATTACATACTGTTTGAATTAATGAAAACCTTAACAAAATTTAAAATCCATCGACTTTTCAAATTACCGTGAATTAGCTTTCGATTAATCCCCTTAAAATTAAAATTTGCTACAAAGATAAAATCAGTATTAATAGCTATTACAAAACATAAAAAGTCAAAATATTATCTCTTTAAAATATTATTTTCATATAAAATATGAACATATAAGAGAAATCTCATAGTCTAAAATTGTTTATCACAAAATAACTTGAAAGAAAATGACAAAATAGTTTTTAAAATAGTTTAAGTACACAACTCTTTAAATTAACTAGTCTAAAATTATTTCCAGTGTTTTATGGATGGAGTTTAAAATTTGGGGATTAAGGTGTACGATATAAAATTTATGATTTTATCTATAAAAATTATTTATTGAAACTAATTGTATTATTTATGAAGTATAGCTTATATTTTTTTTATCTTTGATAAAACCTATTTTAGTTATGAAAATTTTCTTTATCGTGTTTTATGAGATTAGCCGAACATAAACATATAACTAGTATCAGTGTTTAAATATATATAAAGTGATACTATTTTCAAAAATAATTTTCTTAAAAATATATATTTGAATTTGTAGTTTATGGTTCAATGATTATTGTCTAAGGTTTACTATTTAAATGGTTATAAACTTATATATAATTTTCAAAAATTTAAAATTTGATCTATGAGAGTTAATTTTTTTTTTTATCACAAATCTTAAATAATTATGAAAATGACTATTATTTTAAAATAAGATCTAAAAATGATATCAAGTTTATGGTAACATTAGATTACCCGATTAAAATAATATAGACTAATCAAAGAAATCTTATTTTAACAATGATTGAAAAGGTAAGAAATATTATGGTGGACTGAGATAAGAGAGAGAAATAAAGGAGGAGGAGGCTTTGTTTGAAACACTCTAATCCCCACAACAAACCCCCCAATCTCTTTGAAACTCCCAATCTCAAAGGTCAGCCTTCTTCCTCCAATTCTCGATTCGATCCTTTACTTCTTAGATGTGTTTGCTTACTTATTGATTCACCAATCTGATTAATCTCTGTTGATTTGGATCTGTTTGTAATTTTCTTGCTTAGGGTTCTATTTATAGGTTTGTGGTTTGTGATCTGTTTCTGAATCATTTTAATGTTTTGAATCCCTTTCTGCTAGTCTCCTTAACTGGGTTTGTAGCGACTGAATCAAAGGTTTAGACTTTATGAATCTCCATCGAATTGTCTCTGCATTTTTATTCACAAGCTGTCTCCTTTATTTGCATATGCAGCTGCTTCATCAAGGAAATGACGTAAAAGGGTTTAAATCTACTGATCTCAAGTCTGAAAAAGTTTGGAACTTTATGGCTTTACATCATGTCTGTGAGAATCTGCTTCAAGCAAAGACCTTTTGCAACCAGGTTAAGATCAATTGGGATGACTTAGTTTGTCCCATTTGCTTAGACTCACCTCACAACGGTGTCCTTCTCCAATGCTCATCTTACGATAACGGATGTCGTGCATTTGTTTGCAACACAGACCACCTCCACTCCAACTGTTTGGACCGTTTCATAACCGCCTGTGGCACAGACCCACCTCCTCCACCTCCTGATGAGCCTCCTCCTCAGTCAAAGGCCTTAGAAGAGAGCTGCAAACCCTTGTGTCCACTCTGTAGAGGAGAAGTCACTGGATGGATAGTTGTTGAAGAAGCTCGTCTCCGTCTCGACGAGAAACAACGTTGCTGTGAGGAAGAACGGTGTAGATTCGTCGGTACTTACTCAGAGCTTCGCAAGCATGCTCAGACAGAACATCCGGACTCTCGTCCTTCCAAGATTGATCCTGCAAGGAAGCTTGACTGGGAGAATTTCCAGCAGTCGTCTGAGATCATCGACGTGTTGAGCACAATCCACTCGGAAGTTCCGAGAGGAGTTGTTTTAGGAGACTATGTGATAGAGTATGGAGATGATGGTGACACAGGAGATGAGTTTGAGGATGTGCCTGGTAATGAAGGAAACTGGTGGACCTCTTGTATCTTGTTTAAAGTGTTTGATAATATAAGGAATGCGAGGAATAGAAGAAGAGCAAGGATGAGTGAGAGTAGGAGAGGTAGTCGCCGTTCTAGCTATGATAATTCCAACTCTGATGACAGCTCGGTGGCGTCGATTGAGTTCCCGGAGTATAGAGTAGATGAGATTGATGATGAGTTCATCACATCCACAAGTGGAGTTAACAGAAGTAGCTCTGTTCATCAAAGGTCAGATTCATCTACCTTTATATACATTCTTGTTTTCATAGTTAATATGGTTTTTTTTTTATGGATGTTGCTTGTATGCTATTGGTTTACAGGTTAAGAAGACATCGTTCTCGTTTCTATGAAAATTAGGTATCAATGCTGTTTCTACAGTCTTGTGGTTTATCTACTTGTCAGTAAGCTGGAGATTGTAGTGAGGCAAATGAAGCAGACCAGCATATTCGTAGGGCAATGATGTGTGTTCTTGGTTTTGGACCTTTTGTTTTGTTTTCAATACATGATTTTATTTTAGGTTTGTTTGTCTTGTGACATTTACTCGCAGTCGCATTCTTGTACAAAAACGTAATCAGGAAAAAGTGTTTTTTTTTTTTTTTTTATGTGGGGATATTATACTCTGTTTCATTGTCTCAGATATTGAGAGATGTATCAACATTTCCAGTGAACATGTAACTTATTATGACAATCACAACATCGTCAAAGTACATGGAATCGTTGTTAGACATCAACATTTGAGGATATGGGGCACAAGCTCATAAACTAATAGGACAATCTATACTATTATTTGCGAAGTGATTTTTCACAACGGAGTTCCCACGTTAAAAGTTAGAGTGGTTTATATCGTTTATACCCTTGATGAATAAATATATAAATCAGACAATAATAAAAACGAAATTAATTGATATTTATTTGATTATATTAAGGATTTGAATTAATAATAATGATAATAATTATCCATAATCTAAATATATATTTAAAAATAAAAAAATATAATTCCTATATATAGTGTGTTGTTATCCAGAAAATATATTTTATAAAAAAAAATCAAAAACAGAAAAAACATAAATAAATATTCATAAAGTAAAATTTTTAGTTGTATATAATTGAAAATATAAAATTGAAAAAAATTATAATACGTAATGATTTTCAAACTAAAAGAATATAATAATATAATAATGATATATATTTGTGAAGTTATTTTTCACCTCTGAACTCACACGTTAAATTAAATTTATAATCTATTTTTTATAATTAAACTTTAAACATGAATTAATCATAACAAAATAAAAGATCATTCAAAAAGAAAGAAAATACGTATTTGACAAAAATAAATTTTAAATGTATTGTATTATTATCCAAACTAATACTCACACGTTAAATTAAATTTATTTTTATATTTTTTATAATTAAACTTTAAACATGAATTAATCATAACAAACTAAAAGATCATTCAAAAAGAAAGAAAATACGTATTTGACAAAAATAAATTTTAAATATATTGTATTATTATCCAAACTAATATTATTCTTTTTGTGAGATCAATTTTGAATGTACATTTATCGATTCAATTTTTTAAATTGAAAGATAGATTTCTATATTTTTATCAATAAAGAAGAAAGGAAATGGGCTTCAGATTTTTTTAAAAACTTTGTGAATAACGTTATCATGTTAAAAGGTTTAATTTTTAGGTTAAATTTTTTGGATGCAAATAATCATTTATTTTGATGATTTTTTAAATTAATTTAAAGATAATTAAGCCCGCATGTGCGGGCAAAACACCTAGTGAAACATTATATAGGTGCTTCATTATTGGACATTATTGAGCAGATTGTCTAGCGTCTAACAACTTTTATGAACCTCAAGCGGTCATGAGATTTAAATGCCATAAATATTTTAAGGAAGACATTTACTTATATTGTTATATAGTTTGGGAACCTGAAACATATGCCACCACATTTATTAAAAAAACATTTATTAAAATCATTTATAATTGTATAATTCATTGTTAATGATTTGTATGGTTCAATGTTAATGATTTGTATGGTTCAATGTTAAAAACATTTGCAACAAAAGAAGTTATACTATCTTTTTTACTGCCTAATTTCATGAGTGGGAATAAAGTTTAACCGTAGCCCTGTAATTTAGGAAACTAACCCTTTCACCCAGTAATTAGAAAAAAAAAAACAAAAGAGAACAACAAGACGACAAATAACGACCAAATTCCTTATATTTTCATCTCAACGAATCGCTCGCCAAAAAAAAGAAAAAACGAACTCTCTTCCTCCTCTTCCAATGGATTCCGTCTCCGGCTACGCCGGTCCACGTCAGCCTCGAACCGGAGGCAAGATTGTTCGTCCACGCCGGACCTCCGTCGTGAAAACGCCGTACGACCGCCCCGTTCCAAGATCTCAGGATCCTCCTCAGCAAAACCCTAGTTGGATCTCCAGGCTCGTTTACAAACCTGCCACCGCCATTGCCTCCGGCGCCGGGAAATTCATTTCTTCCGTTGTCTTCTCTGAGTCTTCCTCATCTTCCTCGGAGGGTGAGGATTCGTCTTCAGGTATTGTGTTGTCTAACTTAAAGCTTCTCGTCGCTTGAACAATGTGTGATAAATTCATGTGTGTTCAGACAAGATTAGTTTGAAAGGTTGAAACTTTGGTCGGAATCTGAAAAGTACCGTTTGATTTGATTTAAAAGGTTCCTCCTTTTATTCTCTTTCCTTCAATAATGGTTGGTGAAGTATTGTTACTCTATTTAGCTAAGTTACTTACTTCTAAAGCTGTCAACTTCGTATTAGTTCTCTAGCTCTAGTCTTTTTTTTGCATATACGGATTCAGTTAGGTTCGAGTTGTTATACTTTTTCATTGTTTCTCTCTTTCGAAGTAGGTTTCATATGGTCTCCTCCTTGTTTTCAGATATTGAAGGTGATGAGGATGTTGAGAAGAACATTACCGATTTTCCCGAAGATGAAATAGTGGTAGAGGTACTACTAACCACTTACAGAGTTGATTTAGCTCTTTTTTATCTAGTGGTTGGTGTTGCTAAAGATTCCAAGTTTGAATTTTTTTGACTGTTTTGTACTGGGGTTACCTTTTCATGGTTTAGAGCTTTTTCGCATGAGACATGGTTTTGTAGAAGTAAAGTTCACAAAACTAACATTTTTTTCAAGAATATAATTTGAGAAGCATGATTTTAGTTTATGTGGAGTGAGTATGACCTTGTGAACGCCTTTGTTAATAGGACCTTGTGAAGGCTCATCAATCAAACATCCAAAGACTCGGTTCTAAGCGTGTAATTGAGCAGCTTCTCATGCAAGAAACATTTGCAAGGTATTTCGGATTGTCTAGTTTTCTTAGCCATTTACATATTTTAGTTGAAACATATATCTATGACATTTTTTTAATGAAATTACTTAGCTGTTGACGTCTATACGGTTTCAGGGAAGAGGGCGATAGATTAATAGATATCATCAAGGCGAGGGTTGTGGATCATCCCAGTGTCTTTGCTTCTAATTTGGGTAGGCATAGTGACAATGGCATCACCAGTGGTATGTAACTGATGGTAGACTGTGCAAGCAGAAGGGTGATAACATCTTCTTTCTTTTATTTGTAGAGGTGGATGTGGGTGAAATGTCCAATAAAGCTGTCATGGAAGCAAAAAGATGGTTAGAGGAGAAGAGATCAGCATCACGCTCAAAGTCTAAAGTAAGTTTTGGAAACTCTGCTCTCTTAACTCTTCCGTCTTTCAATTTCTCATCTGATTATTCAATGCTATCAATGTAGACTCATCTTGCGAGACTGCGAGAGTAGCTTATTAATGATTATGAGTATGTCTATCCGTTGGAACTAGCCTTGAAATAACCACAATGGTTGCTTTTTCTTTTGAGAAGGCCATAAGCTCTTAAGAATTGTTATCTTTTGATAGTTTATCTTCACCATTTTACCACTGCTTTAGAAAACTATCACCATCTCAGCCATTATTTCCAATCTCCAGGCAACTGAAGAAGGTGCTGGATCGCCTGTGGACGTGGCGAGGTCATATATGCGATCTCGTCTACCATGGGGATCTCCGGATGTGAACAATTCAGACTTTCGGTCACCATTGCCAGCAGGGATGCAGTTTCTTAATGAAGGGACACCGTTTCCTTATAGTTCTGGAAACTTATCCTCTTCCAAGGTACATCAGAACGTTTTCCAATATATTGTGCAGTGCATACTTTTCATATGATCAAATGTTTTTTTGTTCATGTAAGTTGCATATCAACATGTAATTCCATAGTTATGCATATATGCATTTCTTACTTTTGGTACCAAAATGCAGCTGAAAAGGAGATCCCGTTCTAATCCGTCATGGAATATTCAAGATGAAATTCGTAAAGTGAGAGCTAAAGCAACAGAGGAAATGCTTAAAACTGCATCTCCCAGTAGTGTAGCATCGTTGAAACCTAAACATATCCCCTATGTTTTAGATGCATCGTTGAATGTTGATGAAGGTGTCCAAGGTGTTTTTTCTTTCTCTATTCACATGTGGAAATAACTTTTCAGCAATAGACAACATAAAATGAAGCTGAAATTTATTTTGCTTCTGTTCTTTCAGCTTTACGAAATGAACAAAGCGGGGTTCTGCCAGAGTCAACCATACCGACCTCTGAACAAAACCAGGTACCAAGCACTCTTAACACCATGTGTCTCTATGACAAAAAATGAATTTAATCTCGTTTTTAATTCCCTCCTTGTGTGTTTTACTTGAATGAAGTCTACGGAAGCTAATCAAGACGTTGAAGAAACAGGAGTTCTACACACTAGATCTCGTTAGTGTCTCTCTTCATCCGTTCCTTGTATTCACTCACTCATCTTTGATTTCATATAAATCTGTCTAATGGATTCAATTTCTTCTGATAAGGTGGAGTTGTTTTGGACAAGACATTTATCTCCACAGAAGGGGTCAAGAAGACATCTGAAGACACAACCGCTCCTCAAAGGTGTTTTACTGTGCAGAAACACAATTTGTACCACGTTTCTTCTTGTCAGATCCTTTTTCAGTGTATTCATTTTCTTAAGTTTCTCAACCGTATTTGACAGTGGAACCGGTGTAAATGACGACTTCGTCCAACCTAGCTCGACTACTGGAGAGACCAGAAATGGTAACACTTCGAATTGTAACTACCTTTTGGGTTTTGGATGATGTTTAGTTGTGTTTTCTTTATTTATTAATGCAGCTGTCTTGGCTCTTGGAGCAACTTTGGATTCAACTGGGAACCTTTGTATTCCTAAAGATGTGTTTGAAACATCAAAAGAAGCTGATGAATCAGGCACAGTACATTCTACTGCTAACGGTTTCCCGACTTCATCACCTAGGTGAAAAAAAAACAGCTCGTTTGTATGGTTAGTTTCACATAAGATGACATTAATTTATTAAACAATGCCTTACTTTTTTTCACAGTTCACCAATGGCTATGGAAGGTCAACCAAAACCCAGACCACCAGATGAAACAGTGGCTACTCAGCTTGTAACTGAAACTCCTGATGCTGATATCACAGTAGGTGATAATAACTCAGATGGGATGATTGAGAACGAAAACGATAACAGCGACGCCAGCGCCTCACATAGCACGCACGAAGAAGAGTGGCTCCCAGGAGACCAGTCTCTACCTAACTCAAACTCAGCAAGTAGCAGTCCGGGTACCACCAAGGTCTTGGCATACACGAGAAGAGGAAGGAGTCGAGGTAGGGGAAGAGGACGAGGAGTTCGAGGCAAAGGACGGGGCAAATAAACTATAAGAAGAGCTGTACACAATGCAGTAGGAGATTACTACGAGGTAGGATTATGTGAGACATCTCTTTTAGATTTCAATCCCACACTGTTTGTCTACTAAGGTCTCTGTCATTTCGGTTATCTCTTTAGTTTTTCTTTGTAGTCAAATTGTGTCTTCTGTTTATTTAATGTCTGAATCTTTAATGTTTATGTTGCAAGTTTAAAACTTGGTTTCGTTCTACCTGACAAAGCTTTCAAGTTTGCACTAAGACTCTCATCTTCAGTCTCTTATAAATTGTTATTTGTGTCAATTCAGACATAATCCGATAAAGTAGTACTCTCGGATCAGAAAGAAGACTGCAAAGATGAATAGAGAGTTCAATCTTGTTATGTCAACTTGGCTTAATCTAAAGTACAAAAAAGCAGTGACATAAAAAGCAAATTTTATCAAAACAGAGGAGGGAACAGAAAAAAAAAACAGAATAGAATAAAAAAGAAGAAAGAAAGAAAACGAACAAAACCCAATAAGCAGCGATCGAAGGTAATAATAAACACAGAAAGAGCGAAACTTTCAGACATTCAAATCTGAGAGAGCAACTAAAGAGCCGACAGCCCGAGAAATCACTGGTTTGGTCGGAAGAAGAAAATTAACATACTTTTCTTTTGTTCGGTTTTTTTTTTTTTTGTCATTTGTCTGAATTCCGGTCAATCTGAGCAAAAAAAGTTGCTCAATTTCAATCTTCCAAACACTTGGGGTTTTTTCTTCTTACAAAGCTTTGGGTCCCGCTTCTCATTGCCCATCTTCAATTCAAATTTCATATTTTTATGCAATTCGAATTGGGTTGCTCTGTTCTCAAGCTCGAATCTTTATTCTCAGCTCCACTGATCTCGACTTTCTCCAGCTGAAAATTCCGGTAAATTCTCAACTTCTGATTTGGGCGTGGAAGAGAAACAAAAAATGCTGGATTTTTAATGCTGTGATGCAGCTTCGTGTTCTTACCCGTTCGTGAAGTTGGTGACTTGGGATTGATTTGGTAACTTTGAAGTTAGGATTTGTAATATGTATCTTGATAGTGAATCAGCCAAGGTGGAAATTTTAAGCTTTTGGTGTGAGCTTGATACTAGATGATAATGATCTCTAGGGTTTTGGCTTTTGGGGGAGATGAGATTTGGCTTTACATTATATGGCCTGTACTTAAAAAGCTTCAGTTAAGTTCTTGATACGCTCCTGGATTTGAGTTTGAGAAGTTATAATAAGTTAATGAGTTGGGTTTATTGGTGTGAAAGATAACTAGACGCTAAGAGGGTGCATCTTGTGCACTCTCCTCTCATTGTTTCATTGGGTTTTGAGTTAAGAAGAAAGAGAAGTATGCAACGTCCTGAAGGTCCCAGGATTGATCTGGCTGAGTTGAAAACACATATTGTGAAGAAGATTGGTGTTGAGAGATCTAGAAGGTATTTTTACTACTTGAGTAGGTTTCTGAGTCAGAAGCTTACTAAGAGTGAGTTTGATAAGTCATGTCACCGTCTTTTGGGGAGGGAGAATCTTCCTCTACACAACAAGTTGGTTCAATCCATCTTGAGAAATGCTTCTCTTGCTAAATCACCACCACCTGGTCACAAATCTTTGGTGCTTGGGAAGGAAGATGGACCTGAACAAAGTGGATCTCTAGTCCCTAACCATAATAGGAGAGATCATGTTTGGTCAAATGGGGTGTTACCTAAGGTTCGGTCTGGAACAGCAATCAGTGATAGGCCTAGTCCACTTGGTCCAAACGGAAAGGTTGAAAGTTCTCTGCATCAGTCACTTCGTAGCAGTAAAGACAAAAGCGGTAATAGAAACACTGAGAACGAAGACTTTGGTCCGTTTGCTTATCATAGATCAGGTCGATATTCTGATGAAAGAGGGCTGAGGATACCGGATAAAGGTCAGGCCGGAGCTCCAGTTAGCATAGATGATGATGAAGCTCAAGAGCAGCGAGGCAGATTGGTTCCTTCAAAGGGTCCTGTAACGGCTCCTCTAGGGATCCCATTTTATGCAGCCAGTGTTGGTGGGGCCCGCAGAACAGTTCCAGTTTTGAACAGGTCTGACTTCATTAGTTGCTATGACAGTGGTGGATTATCAGACGCAGAGATGCTGAGAAAGCGGATGGAGAATATTGCAGTAGGACATGGTCTTGGAGGGGTTTCAGCGGAGTGTTCTGGTATGTTAAACAACGTGTTGGACGTGTACCTGAAGAGACTGATCAAATCATGCGCTGATTTGTCTGGATCTCGGTCACGGCAGAGCCGAGACGAGATTGTAAATGTAGTGTGGCCGAGTAATAGTGTGCAGATACAAACTAGCAACCAACCGTCTACGCAAGAAAAGCATCAGGTGTCTTTGCTTGATTTTAGAGTTGCAATGGAGCTAAATCCATCTCAACTTGGTGAAGACTGGCCATTGCTTCGGGAGAGAATGTTCCTGCGTTCGTTTGAGGAACGAGAAGGGGTGTGAGTTAAAATGTTTGCGATGTTGGATATTGCAAATTGTCTGAGTAAGCTGCTCTAGTCCACACAAAAAAACTGGCCACTGGTTTTGTTAGCAAGACGGTTCTAAAGCGCTGGATACCATGATGTACCTGGTGGCTGAGAGACACATCTATGTCCTGCAGCCACGGACTCGGGCCACTGTATTTGAATACAAAATACGTGTTGTTGTAAGGTCAGTAGTAACTTGGCCATCCCAAGCTCTGTGTGTAACACGCAAGCTGATAAGGGTATCAAGAGAAAGTTTTGGTGGAGATACTGTGGGAGAAAGATACAAACAAACAAGCATGTAATAGCTGCAGTATTGTTGTGTATGTAACATAGTCTTACCATTGTTTAGAATTTATAGCTTGGAAAACACATTGACTTCACTTTTACTTTTTACATTTACAATTTTTTATTTTCTCATTTCAGTGAAAAGGTTATATTTACAGTCTTCAAGGCATTATAAAAGAGTGACTTACATATTAAGTCCCTCGTTTCTGTTTCATATGCCAGTAGAGTTAGTGGTTATCATGTTAGTGAGATCACCATTGTTCCTATTAGCCACACTGTTTATAGATACCAAACAGATGAATTCATTGCTTCTTTGAACCAAAACTCCACCTTCTGGCAAGTGCTTTGAGTGTAGATATTACCATGTAGTTTAGTAAGCAACCTTTGAGAGTATGCATTTTTGTTTAGAGTTTCAAATAATATACAGACGGAATTATTATGCTCCCAGAAGCTGGTTTATTATCTCTATTTCAGAAGAAGATAATATATGTTTTGAAAATATGCAGAAGGCTTTGAAGGTCTTTCTTTCCAAATGTTCCTTCCACAAAACTTATTGCATCCACATATCCAAATTCAAAAGAGGTGTAAACAGTTCCTCACAAGACCTTTGTTCCACATTGATCAAAGCCCAAACCCTACTTATGGGATTCGTAGAGGGAGGGATCGAACCTATAACCTACAACTACATCAGTTACCTCAAACATCTTCCAAAAATCTAAAACATTGAAGAAATTCAGCAAAACGAAAAAGAGAGCCAGCACTCTAAGCATGAGCTTCTAACCACCCATGATCATCTTGGTGTGATTCTGACCCACCAGCTTCAAGAGAAGCTTCTTCCTCACCCTTCTCTTCTCCACCTTTATCTCCATACATCTTTCTTCTAGCTTCCTTACGAGCTTCCCTACGAGCATCTTTCTTAGCTATATTCAAGTCTTTGAACCCTTGTTCAAACTTGGCTTCATCCTCAGGAGTGAAGAAAGCTACTTCCATTTGACCTAGCTCCGCGTATCTTTGCTCCACTTTGGTTTTCCAGAAAAGACCCATCTCTGTGTCCATCTTTTGGTATGGTGTTTTAAGCAGGTACTCGTCTATCCCTCCTGCTTTGTCAATGCAACGGAGAGCGTGTGTAGTGACTTTGACTTTAATGTGGCGGTCGAATATGTAGCTGAACAATCTCTTCTCCTGGACGTTTGGTTTCCAACATCTTCTTGACCTGTCCAGCAAATCACACCACGAAGTTTACAACTTTGAGATTAACAAAAGGTTACCAAACAACATAAGGGGACTTAAAAAGCATACGAATCCTACATTTCTATCTCCAAAGTGGATAACTTCCGTCACACTATGTATGCATTGTTCAAAAAGAGAGAATCTTTAGAAAGGCATGCATGACAAATAAGCAACAATCAATAGCACTGTTGAGTCTCTTTAATCAGCTAAGATTTTCGAGAGCTACTAAATCGTTTCAAACGCAAACAAAAACAAAAGCATTCCTACAACAATAAAAAACATTAGCTTCTTCGATGTTTCATCTAGAGAAAAAGCATCACAATCTTTAAGTCAAAAGTTAACCATATCAAGCTCTAAGCAAAGACTTGTTGCCACCACAAAAAAAAAATTGCAACTTTGAGATTAACATAAAAACCAAACCATTGAGAATCATAGAAGGGACTTAAAAAGCACTAATATCCATATTCCATTTACAAAGAAATCAGATTAAAAAATGCAATTTTTCGTCAATTAAAGGTACATGAATTCTACATTTCTATCACCAAAGTCGATAACTTTCATCGCACAGAGAGTTACATGAGTCCGACATTTCTATCTCCAAAGCGGAAAACTTTCGTGAACCCATTATACATTGCTCAAAAAAGAGAGAATCTTTAATCAGCTAAAACCTCTCGAGAGCTACTAAAATAGTTACAAAACGCAAATCAAAGATTTCATTTCAACAATCCAAAAAAAAAAAAAAGCATTCCTACAGAAACCGTTAGGGAAAAGAGGGAAAAAGACTGACTTGTTGCCACCGTCTTCACTAACGCGGTTACCGTACTGGATATGGCGTCCAGCGTAGAGACCGCGTTTGGCTCTCCCCATCACGACTTTGGAATCAGGCACACAAGCCTTGAGCTTCTCTTTCAGCTCCGGCGTTAGAGTCTCAGCTCCCACCTTCTTCACCAGCTTCTTCATCATCTCCTTCCCTCTGAACGCCATTTCTCGATGAAGATCACAGACAGATCGCGAAACCTGTCGGCAAAATACTGCTGCTCTTCTGTCTGTATGTCGCTTTGGTTTAACCTCGAAAGAAATTGGTTCAATTAACCGTTATTTTAAACCGGAAAAGAAAATAGCCGGTGAAATTGGTTCAGTTTCTGAGTTCGTATGGGTTTTCTATTTTGTTTCGTTGACTTCTAGGCCCAACTCAGTTTCTCCTATTAATTTCGATCCGTTAGAAAGGTCAAAAGATAACGTGAAGAAATGAAAATGGAGTCCATTCCATCTTTACTATTAAAACACAAAGCTTTTTTTTTAGGTTCCTGTTGAGAAATGGTGGTTGGGACATATCCGGGAAATGGACCAGACCACATCAGTCTCACTTCAGTTCCAAGACCAGGCGGCCAGCAGCTTGTCCTTATCCATACCAGGCGCCAAGCTCTTGTCATTATCCACACGTCCAGCTCCTTGTGTTTATCCACATATGTAGTTATCCTAATCATTATAAGATTAGGATAATCATCCCCTTTATTGTTGTAATCCTTATCAGCTTAGGTCTATGTTTATCTCTAAGCTTAAGGATGTATATATATATATATATATATATATAACAATGTGATTAATAATACATACAACATAAGTTACAACAACCTTCTTTATTCCACAACACGTTATCAGCACGAGCTCTACCCTAGCACTAAAATCCGTAGCTCTCTCTCTCTTGGCGGCTGCAGAAAAACCCTAATCTCTGCAGCAACTTCAAATTGACGTATCTCCCAAACTACGAACCTCCAGACGACGATCTACATATCAATTTGAAGCTCTTGAAGAGAGGAATCCAGCAGTTTAAACAGCGCGTCAATCAGACACCGGAATCAACCGCAATCACCAAAACAATACAGCGGACTAAATTTCTTTTTTCCAATCCGGGAAACCCTAGAGATTTTCTCTCTTACTCAACGCCTTACACCTTATTTCATACCTCAAACCTCATTGTTTCTGAATGGACCTCCTTAGGGCAAAAACCGGTTTGGATTCTTGGGAGAGAGAGAGGTCGAATCACCTTTAATCTTTTAGCTAAGGCTTTACACCTGCAAAAGAAGAGTTAGCAACAGTTTTCTTCTTCAAAATAACGTAACAGATTGAGGAAGAAATAAGGTGTAAGGCGTTGAGTAAGAGAGAAAATCTCTAGGGTTTCCCGGATTAGAAAAAATGAAATTTAGTCTGCCGTATTGTTTTGGTGATTGCGGTTGATTCCGGTGTCGGATTGACGCGCTGTTTGAACTGCTGGATTCCTCTCTTCAAGAGATTCAAATTGATATGTAGATCGTCGTCTGGAGCTTCGTAGTTTGGGAGATACGTCAATTTGAAGTTGCTGCAGAGATTAGGGTTTTTCTGCAGCCGCCAAGAGAGAGAGAGCTATGGATTTTAGTGCTAGGGTAGAGCTCGTGCTGATAACGTATTGTGGAATAAAGAAGGTTGATGTAACTTATATATATATACATCCTAAGCTTAATAATACATACAACATAAGTTACAACAACCTTCTTTATTCCACAATACGTTATCAGCACGAGCTCTACCCTAGCACTAAAATCCATAGCTCTCTCTCTTGGCGGCTGCAGAAAAACCCTAATCTCTGCAGCAACTTCAAATTGACGTATCTCCCAAACTACGAAGCTCCAGACGACGATCTACATATCAATTTGAAGATCTTGAAGAGAGGAATCCAGCAGTTCAAACAGCGCGTCAATCCGACACCGGAATCAACTGCAATCACCAAAACAATACGGCGGACTAAATTTCCTTTTTCTAATCCGGGAAACCTTAGAGATTTTCTTTCTTACTCAACGCCTTACACCTTATTTCTTCCTCAATCTGTTACGTTATTTTGAAGAAGAAAACTGTTGCTAACTCTTCTTTTGCAGGTGTAAAGCCTTAGCTAAAAGATTAAAGGTGATTCGACCTCTCTCTCTCCCAAGAATCCAAACCGGTTTTTGTCCTAAGGAGGTCCATTCAGAAACAATGAGGTTTGAGGTATGAAAACTTAAACCCTAGAACATGAGTTTCGACCCCTTTAATCTATGATGTTTTGGTGAGTTTAAAGAACATAAATTGATCCCATAAAAGCCTAACTATGTGCATGAATACAAACTTGTATTCATGAACAAAAGTTAACCTTAAACCCTAATTGATGAACCCGAAATCTTTGCTTGCTATAATCCGTTTGCTTGGTTAATTTTATCAAGATAATTGTGTTGAATGTCTTAGGAATTCATCCTGATAGTTTTCGTGGTTTATAGTTGAACAAATTAATATTGAAAACTCTTGATAACTAATGCATAAAACCGGATTGTTTGCTTCTCTCTCTAGATCCGTTTTTGATAGATCTTGTTTGATTGATTAAAATTAGTTCTTGCAGCTATAGATCTGATGAACTCTTGTTAATACTTTATCACCCTGGGACGATGTGTTTGTTTGATCAATTGAATGATTAGATCTGAGGTTTAGAAATCGTTTTGATAAAAACCCTAATTGTGCATGAACCTAAAATCCGACTTGCATAAACCCTAGCTGTGACTTTGATATTTTCATTGTTTAAATTTGTTTTAGCATGTTAATATGAATTATCTGATTGCTTATGACACTGAGGTCGAATGCTAGATTCATAGGTTGCTTGAATCAAATTGATAGTTTGCTAAAACCCTAATTCACATGAATTGCTAGATCTGATTTTGCATAAATTGTAGGATTGATAAAATTTCGACCTAACCCTAATCTAGAATATTTGTATGAACTCCCTGATAGTTTATGACACTGAGAAAAATTGCTAGGATCATATCTTGCTTGAGTCGAAATTGATGAATTGTTTGAAAACCCTAGTTTTTGATATTCCTAATCCAACTAGGTTTAGGTTTTGTTCTAAAAATAAAATCGACCAAACCTGATAAGTCTTGATAGTTTCTAAGGTAAAACTGATCATCCTGAGACTATGTGTT